CCCCCCCCCACCCTTGGGGGAAGCTGAAATCAAAGTTTAAGGGCTAATGATAAATATCATAAAGTCTGCCATTTGAAATAAATAAATAAATGATCCACCTGATTCTTCTAGACTGGTGCGTTTCGGTGCACACCCAGAAACGCAAACGGCTTACCTGGAGCTATATTCACACCCCATTCAACTACGACTACTGCAATATTACTCGTTATCACCTCCCCTTCAGTTCCTACCAACCTCTTGGATTTTGCATTCCTTCCAATATATTCATTAGTGAATCTATTATAATTTCGCCATTTTGAGGAAAAGAACCAGCAGAAATAAGAAGAGCCCACAGAAAAAAGTAAGGTACCTGGCTTCTTACAATAATAGCAGAGCATATACGAAGTATTTTAGTATTAAAATCACAGTAGTTCTTATATAGACAAAATAAGGTGGCAAAGATGTTGCCTACTGAAATGGAATGAAGAAGTAGTTTGTGACATTAAATGTCAGCTGTTAAAAATGTTGGCATAATAAGATTCACAAAACTGGATATATTATAACACAGTAGGGAATCGAAAATACTCTGAAATACGAAAATCCTGGTAGATTAAAGGTTCAGCAGGTGGTCCTCTGCACTTAATCTTTATATTTGGATCTTTTGAGGTAGGGAGTGTTGGTGGGGGTGCGGGTAGGAATGTACAAATAGGCAAATGTTCTACAGACAATACCGGGTTATCAATAGGAGTTAGGAAACAGGGAAGAATAGGAGATGGGGAATATGTGGAGCTTCTCCAACAACATTTACATGCTTGTCACCAATCGAAATGCTGCCTGGATCAGCGAGACCGCCTATTCCATTCCCACTACTACTATTAGCCCCAAATGCGAAATCAAAATTGATCATTGGGCGTGGTCCGGTGCTTGTTGCCGTTAGAATTCCAGTCGTATTCTCAGAGGATGTTGACGGAATTCGAGTGCGAACTGAAACACGGGATTTCGCAGGAACCATTCCCAGATAACATCGCGTATTTCTACCCTCTTCTGGACTGACTGATATTAAATAGTGGTGGCCACTTTTTAGCTGGAATTTTAAATCACCCTAATTATGTAATGTTCCATCCTTGAATTATACCATAATTAAGAACTTGCCTTAACTGGTCTGGGGAACCTCACTTCTATCACTCTATTCGTTGCATTGATAGAGTTCAAAGTAACTTCTATGGATGCGATAACAGTATTCTTGGTTTTTACAGATTTGAATAGAGTTCTTGGTGTAGTGGCTGTTGGTGCTAAAGGCGAATCCAAGGTCTGGATTTCTGATCTCAATCGCGTATCTCTGCCATGCCTAGATTCAAATAGAAATTAATAAAAATATTCATTGAAATTAAGTGGCTTACCCTCTTCGCCGGCTTGAAGCATTACTAGGTCTCAGATATGATTGTGGCTGAGCACCAACATGTCTTTGACTGTGCCTACGTCCACTGCTTCCTCCGCTTACTATGGTCGAAACTCCAGTACTTCGATAGGTCACAGCAAAACCTCCGGTTCCATTACCGGCGGAACTGCTGCTTAGCCGACTGCTCTGACTCAGACTGCACTGTCGAATCTCCACCTTCACTTTAAGATGTGTTTCCTTATTCATAGGTCCAAAAAGTCCCACTCCAGCTAAGAAGACTGGCTTTGATACCTGTGATTAACATGTTACTTAAATCAATAAAGTAGATATACATGGTTTAAAAATTGAAGAGGGTAAACTAACTTGGAATATTACATATTCCGTGTCTGACCAAAAGAAGTCCTTGTTAGGCGGAACAATTGACTGAATAAAGCGACGGCATTTATGAACTTGAGGTCCTTTTCGTTTCAAAACGGACGGGTCTTCCTCCTTTTCTAGCATATTATCATGAGATTTTTCCATTTCCTTCTTATCATTCTCAGAAAACATTTTGGTAGCTATTTGTAGGAGTATAGTATGTTGCTATATTGAAAAACAAATGATATTTTTTTATATTTTATCACTATATATTTGATAAGGAACTATATGCTTACCACTTCCAAACTTAAAACGTCGGTCTTTGAAACGTGAATAATGAAATCTTCCAATGACATAGCTCTGAATCGAATGTACGGTAGAAATTGTTTCATAATTGCTGCTACATTCGCAGAAGTTGAACTAATTCCAGTTCTTGTGCATTCAAGTTTGCTCCAACGTATTAGAGACTCAAATATCTCCCATTCTTCGCAGTACAACGTGTCCCTACTTATTAGCTTCACTAAAGTCTGCCGCTCAAGGTCGATGAAATGTTCTGATGTAAGCACATCGGGAGTCTGAACAAAGCAATTGGATAAATTCTAAAATTCTGGAAACCTACCAGAACATCAATGGTATGCCAGCAGATTTTGAATAGTTCGTCTTCATCCATTGTTGAGCATCGGTTCAGTTGAAGCAATACGTTCTGTGGTGTCATCATGTTCTGAGGAGAAGGGGAAGAAAAGAAGAGAAAGTTTTCTTCTCAAATATGAAATCTTAAGACATTTATTTCACTTGAATCGGAGATAATCAAGAAACTGGAAGTCGCGATAGGTCTTTCGGTTGTGTCCTATTTCAACGCTTATTGTATCATCGCAAGGATTTTTGAACTAGACTTATTTTATATGCATTCATTTTTAAAACCCCTTCATAAATTGGTTAGTGAAATTGAGTAATTTATTGCCCATTTTCTCAAGGTCATTGAAATAGGTTAATAATGGCAGATAGATTTAGTGGCATCTCAAGATTATTTTCAGCGTTAATTGCTACCACCATCACTTAAACATTGAGCTCGCTTTAATTTTATGTTTTAAGCCATTACTCAAGCATTTTGAACTTCAAACACTAGATGTCATTCATTTTTAAGGCACAATATCTGTTTGCAACTCTCATTAGCGCAAAAAATTGTGGCGCAATATCACTTGAGGCAGAAGTGAAGTAAAATAACTTCTTAGAAGGGAATTCATTCGTGATGAAGGGATTGTATCACGTTATGAATAACTTAGTAATAAGACTGTTTCCTGCTGAACCGCTGCTAACTTAACTGCTCATGCAATCGTTAACCGCTTAGCCACCTGAACCCGACCTGACAAACTGTCTTTATACTAATTACATTTATCTCATTTTATCTCCGAAGATAATCTAATGGCTGTTCTCCTCCCAGCTTTACCTCTTATGCTCTCTGTGATCGTTGTTTCAAAGGCCGTAAAAGGTTATAACATTTGCGTGACTATGCTATTGCCATATAGCCTGATTTTTATAATAATAGGGCCTTCATTTTCTAGTAAAGTATGGAACAAAGGTAAAATTTTGGAAGCCACTTTCGATCATGTTAGCAGAATGAATGATGCAAAGCATAAGTTATAGTAGGTTTTAAGTTACAGAACAACCTATATGGATGTGTTACCTACTCAGCGTTGCTGGCCATTTCTATTGGAGCGTAATGAAACTGGGATTGAGCATACTTTATAAACTGATATTAGCAGTTTTTTTATATTTTCCAATGAGCTTATGTGACCTTTGTCATGTAAACAAGCAAATTTTTATAATCCAGATATCTCACTTAACAAATATTTGAATTCCAAATGGGCTTAAACAAATGCAATAATAATTTTAACGAAAGCTACGAATTCGAAAACATAACTTACTACTAGTCGGTTTGTACATGCTGTTACCAGTGATGTTAGAAGATATTTTTTCGCAGCGTATAGGGTGTCGTAGAGATCATCCAGCTTGTCGGTCAGTGACATGTCATCGTAGTAGATAAAGTGTAAGCATTGTTGAAAAGCCTAAAATAAATATTTTTTAGAATACTCATTGTTAAAATACTGTATCAAACTTTAATAACATCGAAGTGTTTACGGTTTAAGGCAAATTATTAATGTTACTAAGTTCTAGATAAAATAATTTTTTGCTTTAAACTGAAGTAAACCACTGTAAATATTGATATAGGTATTTTATTCTAAAGATACGAGTTAATATAACCATTTTAACCCCCCATTTAACGTTTTTTAATTAAGGCCAGATTCCTACTATTGGCTTATTGGAGCCTTGTAAATCCCAGTACTACTTTGTATGAAATTGTTTCTTTGTAAAAACTATTTGATGCGATATTAACAAAAGAAGATACTTTATAAATAAAGGTATGCGATGGATTTACCTCCACGTGGGCAACGAATACTCATAGGGCAAAAATGTCTATAAGCTTGCAGTTAGCTTCTGACTTCAAACTACCATGACCCCACTGTATGTCATAATTTCTGACTTCAAACTACCATGACCCCACTGTATGTCATTTCTTCACTTTCACAGTATTCACTTTGCCTTTTTGTCTACCTTCATGTCTGTCTCTCTTACAACTGTGAATCATTCTCCCATTCCCCCTCTCGACATTTTGTGACGTTGATGTTCCTCCCCTCAGTAGAGCCCGAAGTCAGCAAAAGGGCTACTGATAACTATCATAGAGCCTGTCATTATATATATATATATATATATATATATTATAAATGTGATAATTAGCTGTTTCTATAACATTTATTCTCTCTCATTTCGGAAAAATAAAATTGTTTTCTGGCCGTAATACTTTACAATTTCTTCAATACCTAAAAAATAAACTATGGCTTGAAATAATACCGAATAAATTCGAGGTTGAAAACCACTTAAAATAATGATGATTTAGTTGTGATTTTCCTAACAATGCGTAGTAATAAGTGGATTAAAATGTATTGCGCTACAGATACTTCAACTTGTTGGGAATACCTTACAGAACACGAAAAAAACCCTTAGGGGATTGGTTCAATCTACACTGCAGTTTTATATTTTACTAATTACATTTGATTACACTCACAAGCTAGACAAATTTGAAGTCACGAGGATAATCATTCACTATTTGCTATGCCTCAACTGGAGTTTACCAAGTGCTCCGACTCTGAGGACTCAGTTACCACAATTTTCGACAGCAAAACTTGATTTTTCCTTTCTAATTACCTTCCAGCAAACTAACACCTCTCTATAATGGTTTTAGTTTCATGAAAACTACCTAATATCAAGATGTTGATAACCTTTCGACCGAAATTCCTCCTTTCGCTCTGGATTCGATTCAAAGTGCATCTGCCTTTGAGCTATTTAAACCTCCTAGTTTATATAAGAAACAAAAATAAGCATGTCTATTGGATGTGTGGTACTTATGGCTTGTCAGAGCGACAACGGAAGCTTCTACTTGCAACTAAGCTCATTGTGTCTTGCATTTGGCATTTGATAGCCTTAATGGCCTTCATGCACATCTACCGAATTGCTGTTTATTGAAGTAGAAATATTTACTTTTTCGTTTGCATTTATTAGCATGAAAGGAGAACATTTTACTTGAATATTAGTAAATTAAACACTATTCTGAATGCTTCCCCATGAATTATCGCTGCTTATTCGAATATTAAAAAAACTAAATCAGTCAGTAAGTGAAGAAACGTTGAAGTAATAGCAACAAATAAATAGAATTTATATTTATATTTTAAAATTCTAGTTGTCCATCTTGACTGGCAACTAAGGACAATTGGGAGTGTTTTAACATAAATTTGAGAAACTATAAACTTCATTTGCGAAAGCTGACTCAAAAAAGGTCATTTCTACAATAATTAGTATGTACTAACCGCGCTAATGAGTATTGCACTCTGTTATGTCCAATGCTGGGATTGCATATACGGTCAAAGTACTTTCTCATATTCGTAAGAGAAATTTCGGACAATTAAATTAAATAACCATATACCTGCACATGCTTAGCAGTAGGCCTGCTGGGTCAATGTAATGTGCTAATCCGGACTCCCATTCTTGCCCTAATTTTCCACTTTTCATGAAATCGGCCGTCTCATCGCTCCCCAATTTACCTTCGTTTCTAACAACTCGGCCTCCTCACGTTTAGTGCTGATACCTCCAAGTCTCGCCCAATTCCTTTATTCACACCTCCTTCCCTTTGCTTTTCCAGCATTCAGCTAGACTAAGGAAGGTCAGTATTTCTACGAGGGTTGGTAAGTGTTCAAGTTGTTAAAATGGTATTACTGAGGCTCTTGGAGCTAATTAACACATTCTGATATTTGCATCCTTTAATTACCTATCGATGGTTCATTCCATTAAAAATATAATAAATGATTGAAATATTGGTTTGATTATTTCCATCAATCAAATTGATACTCGATAGGAAAAATAATTGGAAAGAAATAATCTTCAAAAGGAAGTAACTTTTCATTCATTTCATATTTGCCTAATTCGTTTTATTCGAATGTTTTAAGCTGAGAAAAAATACCGTAATAACATTTTACACATGTATGATGTCTTGCTTGTGGATAACACGGTGTTAACATGGATGAACCCAAAAATCTCTTGCGTTTTCGGACAATCCATAATGTGTGACGGTGATATTGATCGCAATATGGAGCAAATGGGTCACGAGTGAATGGACATGTCAGCCAATCAACAAACTGTAGACACAACATGGTCGATACGGCCGGAATTATACATAATGTCTAAGTGCGGTGTCAGTATTCTGCGCCATGTGTCCGATCCCTCAGTATTGATGAGTGAGTTAGCTAACTTCCAATCTTGCCATTGAGATTACTGTGAATAAGCAAGTCTTGTTCGTGTAACAAACTGCTGCATGTCATCAGTATAAATACTTTCTACATATATTTCTAATCGATTAAAATGTCGCTCCTGATATGCTTAATTGTGACAGTGAAATTATAGGAATTTCGAATTCTAAATCAATAGCCTTGTCATTACAACTCATCCATAATTGACTTGCAATAAGTGAAAAATAGCATACAAATATGTGGAGAAAGTAGCCAGGTAACCAACTTTCTAAAATTCTGTGCTCTACGGCTTACTTCTCTTTAATTATGCCAAATTATCTCATTGAAATGAAAAGAAAATAGCTTTTGTGGGAATAAATCTAACGGTTAACTCAACGTTGAATAAGAAAGTCAAAATGCGAAAATAGTAACCATAAAAAACAATATAAATGAAATTTAAGGCATTACGTAACACTGTCAACTTTGCATACAAAATAAAATTAAAGATACATTATTATCATAATTGACATGGTGCGGACATTAAATTTACCAATAATAGGAGAACTCCAGCCTCGTATTTACCTTCCATGTGATAATTCAATTAAGCTTAGACTGAGATTGCGAAATTGTTTATTGCTAGACAAAATCAAATGATTCATCCCTCCTTAATTGTCAGTGCCCTTATTATTAAATTACAATCATTGGAGCAATTGACGATAAAGATTTTACAATTTATTATATTTACCAGTTGCCTATAGGTCGGTTGTAAATATGTAGGAATTAGCTTATTAGTCACAATCTGTTACGTTTGGCTAAATCCTTTTCTTATTAATTTTTTGTAGATTGTCACCTAAACATAATCATCCAGACCCCTCAAATTTATTACTAGTTTAAGTGTAAAATGCATTGTAACCCTGTAAGCATACATTGGAAGATTTAGTAAATGTTAATTGAAAAAATCGAATATAAAATCGGCGGCGATTTGTATAGATAATTCAATTAAATAGCATGACTTACTGCAGGCGTGACATCGTCCACATGTACCTCCATAATTTTGGACAATCCATTGTGCGCAGTTCTCGCACTCTCTGCAAATCCCCCAAAGAACATCGCCTCAAAGACTGGCGAAGCTGCCGCTAGTACCAGCCTATGTGCAGCAAACCGTTTCACTTCGTTCCTAACTGCGTGGCACTCATTCTGTTCAGCCAACATCTGCTGAGGCTTGGCTGAAGTGCTAGCTACTATTGGTTCCTCTCCTCCACTGAGCACCACGTCAATATCGGATATATCTGAGAGATGACACATGGTAGCAGTGTTTGTGGTTCCGTCCTCATACTGCTCCATTTCAGATGGGGACGTTGGTGAAGATGAGAGTGATTGCACTTCTGGAGTAAAAGTTGTATTTCTCATAGCAAGGAGCATTTCTGCAAGTGTTTTCGCTTTTTCAGCAGCTGTTGCTTCCCCTCGCTTTGAGTCTGGTTCTATATCATCTGTATCCGACCCAGCTGGAGATGCTTGGCCCACCGCAGATGCATTTCCCGATGCCTGAGCAATGGCAGATGATATCCGGCGCTGCTGCTCCGTGTTCTGGCGACGCTGAGCCGATGCTGTCGACCGGCGAGTGTTGGGACACCGTGGGGGTCGAGGAGAAAATACACTGTTCGATCGGCTGAGTATTTTGCAGTCTCCTACTCCATCACTACTTTGTCTGGAGTAGCCTGCTCCAGTGCTACCGATATAGAAATACACATCTGCAAATCGCTCGGTGCTGAGTACACTTTTCAAGCGGTCTTGTACGCCTTTGCAAGAATGCTAGAGAATTGAAAATATCGTTTCTTAAATTATCAGAAAACTCTATACTTTGCTACTGAAATACATATATTTCTTCCAACTTATACAGAAAATAACCATAACATTGTCTCCTTTGTGTCTATCTGGAAAAAATGATAACAGGCAACCACTTATTTTATTGTAAATGTCTATTCATTTGCATAAGTTTAGTGACAACTTTTATGTCCCTACAATTAAGCAAATTGCTTTCCTACCCAGACTTGAATCTGTCTTTTACCAAGTTCAAACTCCCCGGCCAATCCCTAGTCCTTTATTCGTTCGAATTAGTCAGAGGCTCTCAGCAAACCTTTGGAATTCTTTGTTTATTTCATACGTCTTTATATGATGACCGTCTGAACTCGTGAGACACTGCGTTCGAGTTTAGGCAAAAGTTGTGCTTATCTTAATTAGACTGAAATTGTGACTAACAATAAAAATAATAGTAGGTTCTGACTGAGCGTAATACATTATAGTGTTATTTCTGCATCAAATTAAGCTATGAGGAGACGACGCATAGGTGCTCACAAGTGGTTTGTCCTCCAAAACTTGAATTCAACCTAGTTATCAAGTGAAAACAAAATTTTATTCCAAATCAATGAATGGTCTTCAGTTAAAGAGTCTCAATCTTCTCTCCACACAATCTACTGGATCGGAAACAAGTACTGCCGTAGTTACAGTAAAGTACCCCAGCATTATTGGAGTACTAAACTAGAGTTCTTGCATATGCTAAAGCCGGAATTTCTTAAAGAAATTCAGGTTTCCTAGATTTGCGAGTGATTCAATTTTGCATCGACTTTGCCATGTTAATCGCTTATTTTCGGAGGTGAAATTAATCCAATGACACCAATTCAATCAATGGCAATCTTAAATATTTCAATATTGTTTCAGCTTACCTTTTTCCTTACCTTTTTTGTCTGCACCCTTTACAACTGCGAAATATTCTTCTGTTCCCCCCACTCTCCTCTCGACTTTTCTCCCCTATGTGAATCCCAAAGTCAACTAAAGGGCTAATGATAACCATCAAAAAGCACGCCATTTGATATAAACAAATATTTCTCTGTGATTTAATAGTAAAAATATTTTAAGCTATTAGTTCATTGGTACTTGCTATATTTGATAGGAAGCATTAAATAAATTTCTGAACCTCATAATAACTGGAATACGTAGGGAGGAATTAATTTTATTTGAACGGTGTGTGCGATAGACTTACCTCCACGTGGTACATCCTGGGCAACAAAAAATTCTATAAACCGAAAGTTGACTTCTGACTTCAAACTACCATGACCTGACTGTGTGTCATATTCGGCCCCTTCCATAGTACTCGTCCTACCTTTTCTCAGCCTCTGTGTCTGTCTGTCTGTCTCTTTTACATCTGTGAACCTCTCCACTGTCCCACTCTCCACATTTTGAGACTGTCTGTTCTTCTCCTCTGTGAAGTCCGATATCAACTTAAGGGCTAATGATAACTATCAAAACGCCTGCCATTTGAAATAAATAAATTTTATTTGAAAAAATTTTGGTTAAATCAACTTTCTTAATTAGCGAGAATAACGAAACTAAGCCACAAATTCAACATATGACCAATACTGCTCTGACGTGGATGCTGGACAATAAGTCCAACTTAAAAAAAACAATCTTTTGGCAATCTCATTTAAAAAATACGGCTTAAATATTTCTAGTTGTCACTCGTAGTATACTCTGCAAATCTCACAATTTCGAAATTTTAGGAAGGATTTTTTAAAGCAAATAAATTATTTTTCATTCGCATCTTTGATCTCAGAACGAGGCTACCGCCTGCCATTACAATCAGGTGGTTTAACTGTAACTTTTATCGAAAAAAATGAGAGGCTGTAAGGTACGCCCATATTTATCACGCGTGATCTTCAAGCGCCTCGCTAATTAAAATGTAAAATTGATTAATTAATGGTAAAATATTTTCACCTGACTTTACTTAGTAAAAGGTATTTCGGTGAGTCAGTTTGACCTGACTGGTTTGCCTACTTAAGCAACACCAAACTGGGGAACCTGGCAAGGGTAAGCTTAGAATCCGTTTGATGCAACTTGGAACAGATAATCCAAAGGAAATGAGTATAAGGTGAATAAATGCTAAATGATAAACATTATTTAATGTTAATATATTTTATAGAATAACAACCAAAGCAGGGCTATATTGTGAATAATAATTATTCTGGATTTTGGAATCAATGTTAACTCACCCTCCAATCAGTTGGCACGACGACATCATCACAGTCTTTTACATCATTTGTCTCTGATACAGCCTCCGGTTGAGTGTCTGAGTCCACAACAACATCTTCAAATCGGATTCGGTTTAGATGTCGACCGAACAGGTCGTCGATTGCTGTTGTCGTAGCATTCGGATGTCTGGGAGATACCTCTGCAGAAGTTGACCATCTTGACTGGCTTCTGACTCTGTTACTTCCTCGAACAAAAGATGGAGTTTCTGCAAGATTCTCTACCGCATTTTCGTCATCAAATTCCGCCAATGTGGCGAATATATCGTCATGACGGCCGGGCAGTCTAAAGTACCCTACTGAATGATTTCCATCAACACCAAGTCGAATGGTACTCGAAGACGCTCCACGATTTGATGCTATTTCAAAAAGAAGCATTTCTATACTAAAGGTTTACCTTTAGTAGCCACATTTGTAATAGAATAAGTGTTAAATAAATCCGTAAGGTTTTGTTCTGTTGTTTGAGTCAAAAAAATTTTTCGGCCGATATGTCTATTAAAACAAAACTATTAAAACTATTAAAACAAAACTATTATCGGCCCAGGGGTGTTTATGCCTGAAATGGTCACTCATTTATGCCGATCAATGACATTTTACAAAATGACTTTCATTAAATTAAAAAAACTATTTTGATTTAGGGCATTTCCTCATCAGAATCAACCAAAGTCAATATCCAGACCTGTAATATCACATCATTACGTTAAAACCTTTCAATAAGCATAATGTTTACTCAAAATACTGAAAGAAATATTCGAAATTTTAAGGCGTCATGCTGACAATAGATAAATCACATCATTGCAGCATTCGGAAAAAAATTGCATGAGAATGAAACTAATATTACGATCTTTGCGCTAATCAGCTGCCATGACAACAATGATAATAACTCTAAAGGTTGGCTAATTTATAACTGAAATTTATACTCGAAAGTTCATCCTAGAGTTTATCCTAGTGATCTTCGTCTCCTCAAATATCTTTACATCTCTAAGAATGTTTAATTAATTAACAATTGTAAAACAAGAAGTTGCATTCCAAGCCTATTGCATAATGCGAGTTATCCTATTTCCTATTACATATTTAAAAAGTAAAGAAAACATTATTCCCTCTAAAGTCCTTCTCGTCACCTTGGACTCGATAATAGCGCCTCATTAATTGGCTTGAGATTTCCAACATACAGAATGCTAAAGTGTGTCAACCACACAGGAAAGTTTTTCAGGTTGCTTTAACTTAAAGGTCAGGTGAGCTAAGGCAGTCACATATATTGACTAACAATAAGTAAACTCCTTTGCGCTAATTCTATCTACACTTCAGCAAAAGATTAAATTCTTAATAGCAACTTTATTGGGCAAACGAAGGATCCACTTTCATTACCGACTAGGACGTTCACAGTGATAATCTCCAAACCGTAAGGCCTAGGATAACAAATGGCTTATTTCAATACCACATTTTTGTCTGCCTAAAATGAGCAGAGTAAACGCAACTTTGGGATTGCTGTAGTTTTATCTGGCAGTTTACAATCAGAAGGAAGACATCGTGGACATACACGAAAAGCTAAAAAGATTTATTTTCCATGTTAGTGGTTGATTAATTTTCACTCTTTAAATATTCTACGAGTGCAGATTTAGAGAAGAAACTTATACATATATCATTTTAAATGTCTCAATTTTATCCATCAAAAAGAGTCAATGTTCCTGCATTTAAGAAAAATAAATCATGTAAGTAAATGACATTCATGTTTCCTTTGAGTCAAAATTTTCTCATAATTATGGATAACGTAAAGTAAATTTAAAATTTTCCCATATACAATTTTGATCTTTCAGGGCTGCCGTTTTTTCACCAGCAAAAAAAAATTAATGAGAAATCCAACCTTATTTGGGCACATAGAATGGTTTAAAAGGTAAAATCATTTCACTTCTTATTTGTTGTATTACCAATCTTTTTTTGCCAATCCCTCACTCTACCTCTGTGCATCTTCGAGGCAAATGGTAGGCAGCTATGCAAATGAAGGAAGTTCATTAACATTGCTTGGGTTTAACAGTGATTTTTTTCATTCTGTTCACATATAATTCATTTGCATTTACTCCACTTCCCCATTCCTTGATATTTCACTTTGGTTGAGAATAAATTGTTGGAGAATCTCAGTAAGAGATACAGGATTTGAGTGAGATTAAACGTGTTCTCTCTTGTTGATATAAGGCGTTGCTGAACTCAATTACTCACTTTGTCAATAAAGAAATCGAGATGAGATGAATAAAAAATGGATTTAAATGAAAAAATCAATGCTTTTTTATCTACCGCGGATATAATCGTACTCATAACTTTGAGGATCAAATCATAAACATGGAATATGAGCGTGTTTCAGAGTTACTGTACTTCATTTGAGAGCATGTTGGATCAATGCCTCAAAATTGAAGTAAATAAAGACTCTTGAAGTCCTAACTTCAAGGCCTACTTTATCTCGATTAGCTGTCCATCTCCTTACTTAGACATGTTCATATGAGTAGAACCTACGACGTGCTTTGCATTGCATAATAATGATGACTTTAGGTGTGAACATATTAGTTACTTTAGTTCGAATTTGATTAAATTTTATTACCATTTAATTTTAGCAATGATTAAAAACAGGTATTCTTTGGGGGGGGGGGGGGTCAGTAAACAGGATTTCCATTAAAAGCCTCATATTTGACAGTTTTTGTACACTTATCTGACAGATTCGATATTTCACACTATGGGGTGTGCAATAGACTTACCTCCACGTGGTGCACCCTGGACAACGTATAATCATGAGGCATAAAGTCTATTAACCAACATTTGACTTCTGACTTCAAACTACCATCACCCCACCGTATTTCATATTCGACTACTTCCACAGTTCTCATCTCTCCTTTTCTCTACCTTTGTGTCTGCCTCTTTTACATCTTTGAAACACTCTTCTGTTTCCTCCCCCCTCTCGAATTTTCTCCCTTTGATGTACCTTCCCGTCTGTGAAGCCCGAAATCACTAAAGGGCTAATGGTAACTACCAAAACGCCTGTCATTTGATATAAATAAATATGTCACACTATACGAAAGGAATCGTATAAGGTAAGAGCCCCATTAAAAATATGTCAAATTCTACTTTCCTTCCTGGTTTTGACAGCTAATACAAAAAATAAAAAAATGATGAAACTCATTAAAACTGTATAATTTGCGAATTATTTTGAAAAGCTTGTTAAATATCTTCAATTTTAAAAGGACCAAGAATCAAAACACAGCCAGTGAGTTCGATTGCATTATAGTTACCGTAAAGAGGTTCCCTTTTCAGCCAAGAATGTCAGCTGATAAAACGTAAGTAGACTAATTTTGAATATGTAAGAAATAAACTCTGTTCTCCTCTTTTAAAGGGTTAGTTACGCGAAATATAATTTATGGCAATAAAAATTAAACTGAAATTTTGACTATGAAATAGAGTCAGAGAGCAGTTCAGTATCTATGGCAGCAAAACTTTCTGGGCGGTGTAAAATGTTAAACGTCACTAATAACAGGTATTAATGTCAGCTTTTTGTTCAAGGTTAACTAGAAAATACAAATCGATAGATAGGCAAGATCAAACCTATTTCAATGACCAACAAATGCCAAGTATATTTATGCATTCTTTTCATTTCTCTTTCATGAAATTCATAAAAATGTGAAGGTTTTCAACTTACAAGAGAAATTAATAAATCGGACTACTTACGTTCCAAAGGCGTGAACGTACCGTGAGGATTTAATCTTAGAGGTCTAATTTCAGGAGAGCTAACTCTATCCGTTCCTGAATTATCCGTCTCTGCATCGTTGTGCAGTAGGCCACCATCGAAGAGTTCCAATTCCGTAGCTATTGCTGCCTGTATGGAGGTCTCGTCAGACATTTTTTCAACTAATTAGTAGCCACCCTTGGTTGTAACACAAGCTGATATTAAGCGAAAGAAAGAAAGGTAGAAAGCAGAGTAGAAGCGTGCGTCTAACAAGCGCAGAGTGAGAGAGAGAGAGAAGAGCTTAAAATGATTACACCACCGTTCAACCTGTGAGCGATTAAAGAGCATTTGCACATTTGGGCTTGAACCAATCACCGCGCAGTGTGCTTCACAAGCGCTCATTGTATACGTGAGAAACAATACGCTCACGCTTAGGGTAATAAAGATATTACTAATTAGAGCAGGATTTCAGATATCGCGCCACTAATTTATAAACAATTCTAAGCCCAGCACAATTATTTGGCTTGTTCTGAGTCTTGAGCCAGTGCAAAATGAAGTTTATTTATATCAAATGGCAGGCGTCTTGATGGTTAT